ATTAGACTTGTCTCTTCAAGCAACTACCCAAGTATTCTTTCAACAAAAAGCCTCTACGAGCTTTAAGAATTGAGTATACTTTTATAGTCAAGCCTTTCTAGGCTTTAATAGTCGAGTATTTTTTTTACAATCAAACCTCTCTAGGCTCAAACCAACAAGTATTCTTCAATAGCCAAGCCTCTCTTGGCTCAAAGCAATAACACAAAGTTAAAGTCGAGTAAACTAACTATATTGTTTCATTTTACTATCAAGATGTGATATAACCAATTAGGTGCAAAGAATTTTTACAAAAAGAAAGAATATAGTTTTTACAAAAATTAAACCCTCTATTTTTTGTCAGGTTGTCATCTTTTTCTTTCTAAGCGTCAAGCCTTCTTTTATAGTGTTCCAATGAAGATGATCATTGAAAATTCTTGAGCATCTTTCACAGGCTTGCTTCATCTATCTTTATCTTTGTTCCTTATGGAGAGAAGTATCTATTGGTGAATTAAATGATTTTACTAAATAATCACTTCTTATCTGATAAAGGAATCTACTAATCACCTTTTAGGTACAAAAAAAGTGGAGCCATGCACATGTTATTGATTTAGTTATCATACATCATAAATGATATTAATTCAGGGTAAATGTCTTGCAAATGAAGCATTTCATATACTAGACATTCATGTCAAGAAAACACATTGTCTTAGTTTATTCGTCTTACAAAGAGCATTCATTTTATTAGTGGTTTTAAAAACTTTTCTCAAGGAAAATGTCTGTGTTTGTTATTATTAAAACATTATGACTAAAGGATCAAAGATTGTCTTTTGACCTAAAAAGTCACTTTTGGCTCAACCCAAGTATTCTTTTACTTGTTTCTTCAAGCAATTACCCAAGTATTCTTTCAACAACGAAGCTTCTCTAGGCTTCAACAACCCAATATTATTTGCAAAAAAAGCCTCTTGAGGCTTCAAGCTATAACATAAAGTTAAAGCTACAAGATCACTTGTTTTGACTTACTTTCAAGACGTGATACAACCAATTTAAGTACAAAGATTAATAGAAAGAATGAAATGAATTTTTACAATCATTATTCTTTTTTCTTTTTGAGTCTTCAAGCTTTTTTATATAGGTGCTTCATGAAGATGACCATTGCAAATCGTTGAGATTCTCTCATAGACTTTCTTCATCATTCTTTGCCTTTCTTCCTTGTAGAATAAAGTGTTTGTTGGTATATTAATTAAATGTAAGCATTAAATACATTTCACCAAATTGTCACTTATTATCTAATAAAGGAGACTTTTTGTCACCTTTAAGGTATAAAATGAGAGAAATTGTTGCATGTGTCAATTGGAAATGACTTTATTTAAGACTTTGCATGCTTTGAGATATTTGTTGATCCTTTCTTTAATAGAAAACAAATCTCCATTCTTTTTTGAAGTTCAAATACCAAAAAAGTTTTTAATCCTTTAATTTGTTAAGGCATAACACAAACAAAGATGATTTGATTATCGGATATCATAAATGATAATATTTAATGTATTTGTCTTAAACAAACGGAGTGGTTCCTCTAAAAGAATACACGTCATCATAATCAATCATTTATTTAATTTCATCTTTCTATGTGATTTGAAAATTATTTTTTAACAAAAATGTTCAAGTTTGTTAGCATCAAAACTTATATTTTGAGGGATCCAATATTATCTTTTGATCTAACATTAACTTATGGATAAACTAATTTTAACTAATGAAGAAACTTATTTATTTTCCATCATAATTTACTCTCCTAAAAGTTCTTTTAAAAACGTTTACACAAATATACCCTTAATATAATATGAACCTATTATATACTAAAGTGATTTAACCTATTTTCATCATTCCCTTACTTAAATAAAATTATCTATTAATACTTTAAAAAATAATTTTTTTCACAAGTTAAAAATAACTTATTCATAAATTAAAATCGTTTTTTAAAAGAAGCTAAAATTATTTACTTACTTTAAAAGATTTGTTTAAACTTGCACAAGTTCTTTTTCATTTACCAATAAAAAAGAAACATTTTGTTTATTTTTTCTACAAATATTCTTAAAAATTTATCTAAACTAATTAAATATATCTCTCATCTTTGTCACCTTCTTTTATACATACCGTCAATGACGGATCCACGTTGACAATTGTGGGGGCAATTGCCCCCACTAAAGTTTAGTTCATTTTCTTTTTTATATTAAATATTAATTATTTTATAAAATATAAATTATTAATTATATTTTAATTATCTTATTATATTTAATATAATAAAATATATTGATATTTTATTTTATTATTTAATTACTTTCACTCTATGATAAAATTATTTTAATTTTTTATGAGAAAATTTACTTATTTTAAAAGTAAGTCTTGATAGATTTACTTTTTTTAATAACTAATGTTTTATATCAATTTTTTAAAAATTCAACTATTAAATTAAAAACTTTTAATATATAGATCAAATTTATAAATTTTTTAAAAATTAAAAATCATATAATACTTTATTAGATAGATCCAACATAACATAAAATATTTTTTTATGATTATTTATTAATTTAAATTAATAAAACGGGGTATTAAATAATTTTTAATTTTTTATAATTTTTATAAATTTGATCTATACATTAAAGACTTTTAATTGAACGGTTAAATACTTGATGTAAAACATGAATTATTGAGTGGAGTAAGTTTATCGAAATTTACTCTTGAAATAAGTAGATTCCTTCTTGTTTTTTTATTATTATAATAAAATATATTTTTTGACTAAAAATTTATTACTTCTTTACTCATTAAACGTGTCATAATTTAGTTTACTGATGTATGTTATTTATCAATTTTTATTTTATTTTTTAACCATTTGATCATGTATTTGCATATTGTATGTTGGTAGAAGATGATCCATATTAAGAGGAATGCGAATAATTGTTACACAGTTTTTTTTTTTTAACTTAAACATATTTAAATATAGACATTCATTCTTATAAAAAAAAATAGACATTGCACTCATAAAATATTTTTGTTTTAAATGAGTGTAGAAAGTTAGAAAACTAAAAGAAAATAAATTAATAATTTTTATTTTTATCCTATTAATTTTTAACATTTTATTCCTCTAATATTAAATAAGTCACAAAAAATTATAAAATGACACTTAAATATAATCTAAGATAGAAAGAAAAAAAGGAAAAATTATCACTCTATTTATAAGATAATTATAATTTATTAAAATAAGGTATTTTAATTTTTTTTATCATAAAATATATTTTTCAAAAAATGATTAATTTTTTTTAATAAAAATAATAGAATATTTTATTGTCTCCACTTAACAAATTTTCTGGATCCGTCACTGTATACCGTCATGATGATCAAATGAAGATTTGCCTTTGAATAATAAAGTGGATTAAATGACGAGCTTTTAAAATCTCGTGATGTTTGCAATGCATAGTGCGTTACCAGCTTGATAGTTACTATACTTTGTTCTAATATTTATTTTATCGATTAAGAATTACAAATTTTAATTAGTAAATTAAGAAAGAGACTTATTATATAAAATCTCATACCTATAAAATTTATAATTTTCGATAAATTTTGGTCAATAATTTTAAAAGTATAAGTAAAAGAATATTAAAGAATGTCATTAACCTTCTAATTCTATTTAACTTCATCTTTTACACAAGAAAACTCAACATAAAGTTCAGAAAGTATTAAAGGGATTGTGGGAAAGTAGGAAACAAGCGTAAAGAATAATTCTGACATTTCCATAAATCTTGTACATCATTGCATAGTTAAGTTTGTTAATTTCTCTCGTGTAGAACATGAAAAATAAAATAAAATAAAATCCTCTCATTTAAAACAACCTTCCTGCCGCACAACCCAAATATTGCACATCCGCGCGCCATGATTATATATATATCATCAGTATTTTTCCGCAGATTATCAATTTGATCTTAGTCATTTACTTCTTCAATCTCTCTCTCTCTCGATCTTAGTCATTTACTTCTTCAATCTCTCTCTCTCTTTCTCTCTCTCTCTGAAATTTTCTTTTTTCCCTACGTTTTTTTTTTTCCAATTTCAGACTTGAACTGATATCGTAGGAGATTATTTACCTACTTCTACATATGACTTGTTGATTATATAGACTTTTTTTTATCGAAATTATAAAGATGAGACCTAAATTGAAACTTAAAATCTTGTATATATTTCTCCAACTCTCATCATTGAGCCATATTAATAGTCACCTTACTTGGCATACACTTGAACTTGTAATAAGTACTCTTAAAATTTTAACTACAACGTGCATGAGTTTTGCACTATTAGAAGTGAGCTTGTGGCTGTAAAAAGGCAAAACTGAATTAAAAAAAATTATTTTTATAAATAAAATGGCAATCGAAATAATTTTTTTTTTGGAAAAATCAATCGACAAATATTCATATGAAGAACTAAAATGAATCAAATGCTTTTTTCAAGTAAAAAAATAATGTGAGGATTCTTACAGATAAAAAAATAAGTCAAAATTTAATTTATGTATCTTAATTTTTTTTTATAAAAATGTTTTAAACTTTTTTTAGAAATAAAATGTGTTTTTGTATCGCCTTTTTTTTATTTATTATTTTGAATGTTACAGATGATGAAAAATGATAATGTTAAATTTGATAAAGATGAAATTCCAATAATAATTTTTTTACTTTGTTTCCAATACTTCTATGGATTGAAATTTGAATTTTGCAAAAATCCGTCAATGTTTCTGATTACTTTTTCTTGTTCATGCAGATTTCATAGGAATAAAATTCTATGCCCTTCACAAGAAGGGCTTGCTTACATATAACTTTTCATTATCTTACTTTGAACATAAAGAAAAAGTAACAGCTAAATGGACCCAAAAAAGGTGATAAATACTCAATGAAGAATCATTGAATACCCACCAACAATTTCTTGATACATTCACCAACCCCATCCTCAACGCTATTCCCATTCAATTCCCTCTCATTTATGAAGCTTAACCCAACCAGACCCCACCTTGTTCTTTACTTTTCCTTACTGGTTCATACTGGCTAGCATGTTACACTGTCTTGCCTCATTCATTCACTGAATGAAAAAAATAAAATAAAATAAAATAAAAGCCTTCTTTTGATTCTTAGAGATCTAGCTGAGCCCCTACTAAAGTTTCTGCAACAGAGATAAAGAACCAAAGCTTTGAGTTTAAGACAAAGACTATAATAGTTTTCTTCTTGCATTGCATGGTTTCTTTCTTCCTCTTTTATTTTATTTTTTATTTTTTATCTTTCTTTTGTCGGTCTTCAGGGATCTCCAAATCCAGACAAACAAAGGGTCTCTCGCATGTTCTTTCGTAAAAGCCCACAACCTTTGTGTTACATCAGAGTCACTTCATTTTCTCAAAAAAATCTTAGTACCGGTAGTTGCAACCCTGTAGCTTAGTTCTTCGACTCGAGTAAATAACATTGTATTTTTATTTTATTTTATTAGTACTTTCCTTTGGATAGAGAAGATCAGTGTGTATTACAGTGTATGGAGATTTGGAATGTAGAAAAACACTGGTTTCTTTCCAAGGAGTCACATCACAACAATCCATTCTCATTCTGGTGTTGAAGTTCTGAGGGGCATTTTCCAAGGTGGAATGTCTATCTAACTAATTTTCTTCATTTGTCAGCACCAGATATCACTCACTCACTATGGGTTTGGGAGTGTTTGGTTCTGTTCTAGTTCTGACACTCTTCTTCAAGCATTTAGCTTCCCAGCAACCAAACACTGATGATTTCTTTGTGTCTGAATTATTGAAGAAGATGGGTTTAGCATCCTCTCAGGTCTACAACTTTTCTGCTTCTGTTTGTTCATGGCAAGGGGTTTCATGTGATGCCAAGAGAGAACATGTTGTTGGGTTAGTCTTTTCTGGCATGGGCCTCAATGGTCCTATTCCAGATACCACCATAGGCAAGCTCAGCAAGCTTCAATCTTTGGACCTTAGCAACAACAAAATCACTGACTTGCCTTCTGATTTCTGGAGTTTTAGCTTCCTCAAGAGCCTTAACCTCTCCTCCAATCAGATTTCTGGCTCATTGACTAACAACATTGGAAACTTTGGTTTGCTAGAAGTGTTTGACTTGTCCAGCAACAATTTCTCTGGGGAAATTCCTGAAGCTATTAGTTCCCTCGTGAGTCTGCAGGTTCTCAAACTTGATCACAACAGATTCGAGCAAAGAATACCTTCAGGGATTCTCAAGTGCAACTCTTTAGTTTCAATCGATCTTTCTTCAAATCAGCTGATTGGGACAGTTCCAGATGGTTTTGGTGCTTCTTTTCCTAATCTTATTACCTTGAACCTTGCTGAGAATAGTATTAATGGCAGTGATTTGGATATTTCTGGATTGAAGTCCATTGTGAGTCTCAACATATCAGGCAATTCCTTTCAGGGTTCTGTGACGAGTTTGTTTCAGGGAAGGCTTGAGGTCATGGACCTCAGCAGAAACCATTTTGAAGGTCACATTTCTCAGGTACATTCCATCGCTAATTACAATTGGTCTCATTTAGTTTATCTGGATTTGTCAGAGAATCAGCTTAGTGGGGATATTTTCCAAACATTGAATGAATCCAAGAATCTAAAGCACCTTAATCTTGCTCTCAATAGATTTACCAGACAGAAATTTCCCAAAATTGAAATGTTCTCAGGTTTGGAATATCTGAACTTGTCCAAAACTAGTCTGATTGGTTACATTCCAGCTGAAATCTCACAACTGAGTAATTTGAGTGCACTTGATGTTTCTTTGAATCATCTTATAGGGCAAATCCCTTCACTAAGCAATAAAAACCTCCAAGTTCTGGACCTTTCAAACAACAATTTGAGTGGAGATGTCCCTTCATCAGTCATAGAGAGACTTCCTTTGATGGAGAAATACAACTTCTCTTATAATAACTTAACCTTCTGTGCTTTGGAAATCAAACCAGCTATCCTCCAAACAGCATTCTATGGATCACTGAACAGTTGCCCTATTGCTGCAAACCCAAGTCTCCTCAAAAAAAGAGCCACTCAAAACAAGGGAATGAAGCTAGCTCTGGCATTGACCTTCTCAATGGTCTGCTTGATTGCTGGTCTTTTGCTTCTAGCATTTGGTTGCCTTAAGAAAACAAAACCATGGCCTGTTGTTAAGCAAACTTCGTACAAAGAAGAACACAACATGTCAGGCCCCTTCTCATTCCACACTGATTCAACAACTTGGGTGGCTGATGTTAAGCAAGCAACATCAGTCCCAGTAGTAATCTTTGACAAGCCACTGCTGAATATCACATTTGCAGACCTCTTGGCTGCAACTTCAAATTTTGATAGGGGCACCCTTTTGGCTGAAGGAAAATTTGGTCCTGTTTATAGAGGCTTCCTACCTGGTGGCATTCATGTAGCAGTTAAAGTTCTGGTGGTTGGATCTACTCTGACAGATAAAGAAGCTGCAAGAGAGCTTGAGTATCTTGGTAGAATCAAGCACCCTAATCTTGTTCCTCTAACTGGATATTGTGTAGCTGGAGATCAAAGGATTGCCATATATGACTACATGGAGAATGGAAACTTGCAAAATCTGCTCTATGACTTGCCACTTGGGGTGCTGCAAAGGACAGATGATTGGAGCACAGATACATGGGAAGAACATGACAATGATGGCATTCAAAATGCTGGTTCAGAAGGAGTGCTCACAACATGGAGATTTCGCCACAAAATCGCACTTGGCACTGCGCGAGCATTGGCCTTTCTGCATCATGGATGTTCCCCACCAATCATCCACAGAGATGTCAAAGCTAGCAGTGTTTATTTGGACTACAACTTGGAGCCAAGACTTTCAGATTTTGGGCTGGCTAAGATTTTTGGGAGTGGCTTGGATGAGGAGATTGCACTTTGTTCACCAGGCTATGTTCCACCAGAGTTTTCTCAACCAGACTTTGACACCTCAACTCCGAAATCCGATGTGTACTGTTTTGGAGTTGTTCTCTTTGAGCTACTAACTGGGAAGAAGCCTGCGGGAGATGATTATGCTGATGAGAAAGAATCTACTTTGGTTAGTTGGGTGAGAGGACTAGTGAGAAAGAACAAAGCTTCAAGAGCTATTGATCCGAAAATTCGTGAAACTGGATCAGAGGAGCAAATGGAAGAGGCCCTTAAGATTGGTTATCTTTGCACTGCTGATCTTCCTTCTAAGCGACCAAGCATGCAGCAGATAGTTGGACTTCTCAAAGACATTGAACCTTCTGCTAACTAGCATGATCACAGAGAAATGAGGTTGTTTCTTTTAATTTCATCACTTTGAATTTTGCTACCGGATGAGAGTTTCCCGTGAAAACATGAAACAAATGTAAAGTAGTTGAACTACCATGTTTTGTCACTCTTTTCTTTCTACTGTCAGTCTCTAGAAGGTGGGAAAAAAAAAGTGTTGAATATATTTCACCAGAATTTGATCTTTGAACTAACACGTTATGTTATTGATGTTTTTTCATCCACTTTACTTTCCTTTTGACTTCTTCATGTGTGAAAAACAAAAGCATGCCACTGGAATTGAGTCTGTGTAAAGCTTGATGCTCTTAATGAATAAGTCAGCAGAATGTGATCTTCTCTATGCATATTCGTGTTCACTTGAAGACATTTGTGAAATCACTTGAGAAATATTGCTCGAGTTTTGGGGCCTTCTTCTAAGTTGTATTTAGAAGATACTTTTCAGATTTATTTGTCCTTTATGTTGGAATTTTTTTTTTCTCCTCTACATTAATTATTATTATTTTTTTTATCAAAATACATTTCATTATTTTATAGTTTTTATTCATAAAAAAATAGATGATGTAAATTGTTGAATTTTTTTTCCTGAAAAATTATTTTTTTAAATTTTTTTTTACAAAAATGGATCCCCCTCCCTCCCCTTTATTTATCAAACTAGAATCATTCACCGTGCAGGTTCAGAAATTCGGTCCCTGAAAAACCGAATTCTGACCTGCTACAGTTACACCAGTGACTGTCGTGATGATTGTCGAAATTCGGTTACCAGGGAATCGAATTTCGAGCAGCCTTTTTTTTTATTATAGATTTTTAATAAATTGAAATTTTTAAAAAATAAGAATTTAAAATTTTTTAAAAAATTAAAAATAAATATAATATTTAAATAAAATTAGTTTGTTATCATTTAAACAAAAAATGTTAATTTATAAATTTAATAAGTTATAAATCTAATAAGTTATAATGTTAATAAATAAGAATTTTATTAAGTTATATTTATAATAAATTATTATTTGAAAAAATTATAAATTTAATAAGTTAGTATGTATTATAAATATGTGTTTAAAAATATTAATAATATTTATAATTAAAATATATTTATAATAACTGAATTGAATAAATATTATTTGTATAAGTTAAATATTAGAAGATGAAAAATATATATATTTAAATTAAATTTAATAATTTATAATTTTTATTATTTTAATTTTTAATTTTAGTAAATTAAATTTATAATAAGTTATAATTTATAATAAGCAATATTAATAATTTATAATAACAATATGTAAACAACGAGAAGCTACACAATGTTTTAAGGTTTATTTTGTTTATGTTATTTATACAATATATAGAATTAAATAATTGATATTAGTAGAAAAAAGTGTATATGTTTATTAAATATTATTGATTATGAATTCTTATGATAGAAAAAATAAGAATATAAATACAAAAATAGATAAAAGTTCTTCCATTATACTATTGATGAACATAGAGGGCATTTATAAAAAAATACCATTAATAAATAGAAAGTAATTAATAAGCAGTCGATAATTACATACATTAATTAACTATCTCCGTAATGGTGGTCAATTCCACAATGAGGGCGACATCTATTACGTGGTGGATTTCTTCGTTGTGGTTCTTACTCTTCAAATCCAAGATGAACTTGCGGAGGATTTGAGGAACTACCAGGTTCATTTGCAAAATCAACCAAAAGAGACTACATATAACTTTGTGCTAAAGATGGAGTTGTAAAATCAACTCCAAATAAGTTTGTAAAAAATTCCTCTAAAGTAGTTGCAAATGAATGTCTTTTATCAATTATGTTTGCTTCAGGCATGATGTTTGTTAGAGAAAATGATGCAGTCTCGTGATATGATTGTGTGGAACACGTACCAATATCAAATGATGTGGTAGTTCGTAGCTGATTATAGCTCCTCCTTGGATCTTGTAGTAATGGTGGCACAGATAGGAAATGGATAGAATTGACAATGCACCATTCCATGTATCCTCGTGTGTGACACAATGGGCCTTGCATTGGATGACCCGTTAATGTGAGCTCACGTCTACTGTTCCACACATCTATCCATTGTGCATGTCTTGTGATCCAATTTTCATCCTGTCTTCCTCTCATGACAATTACTTGGAGATCGTCCAAGTTGTTGGTGTTAGAAAAGAATGGCACAATCCAAGAGAGGGGGTGAATTGGATTCTATGACCCTTTAAAATTTTTAGAGTATTTTAGATCTTATTTCACTTAAACTTTTCTAAGACCCAACTTTTCAAATGAAACTTTTCTAACTGTTCTCACTGGTCTGAGGCCCCCAAGGTGCCCCCATTATAGGGACCCAATCCCTCTCGTCGTAAGTCGATGGAAAGTTCCAACGCACTGTCGGACTCGAGTTCATGGTTATCACCTTGAGTGATGCTTTTCGACAACGGTCTACGGGCACCTAGGCCCATTCGACAACCGGCCGTACTAACATCCACTCCCTATGGCTTACCACTCATGCCCCCGGGTATAGAGGGAACTGTTGTGTGCAAAGGTTCGTGTGCAGTTTGTATTTCAAACAATTGCGAGAATTTAAACATACAACAGTTATTAAAGCCAAATAGATAAAGCATGTTATCATACAAGTGAGGGGTAAT